CACGAAAAACTACTGCTGTTGCACACATGTGTGCACAATGCGTTGGTCCTACCCGCACACACCTCTCGCCACGCTCCTCTTGCCCTTTTTTTTTTTAATAAATCATGCTGCGCATTTGTCGCGTTGTATTGCTGACGTGTGTGTGCTCTGCTGCTGCTGCTGCTGCTCCTGGCACTTGAAATGAAAACAGAAATGTGCAAACTGTACAATTAAATAATTTACAATTTACCAGGGCACAACAGCAGCAATTACAATTTCTCACAAGTCACAGCAAGTGGCATTTTTAATTTGATTAAATAAAAGTTCGTCTCTTTCAGACCGTGCTCTTCTTAATTAATTGCCATAAACTAAATAACAAGTCGAACTATTTCTTGGATACATTTCACTGCACTTTAGTTATGTTTGCGTGTAAATATTGAGATAACTATTTAGCTAATATCATCCGTGAAGAACTAGGCAAATCACGTTTAAGTGTTTGCTTAATGAAAGCAATTAATTTGAAAGAGACTAAAATTATTGATTGACTAATTGATAGCAAATTACAAATAAGTAATTAACTAATGAGCGCAGCAGGATAATATTAAACAAAATAAAACCTAAATAATACTTGAAAACTTATAAGAAATAGCTTTAGCAACTGTTAAAGTCGAAGGATTGCTCACAACATTAGCAGCAAAATATATTTATTTCTTTAGTTAGATTTAAATAGTTTAGGCTTCAACTTGAACAGACTAATTAAACACTGTTTACATGTAAATATTGAGATACATTTGTAACTAATATCAACGTGAGGAATCTATGAAGAGTTGGGCAAATTAAATGTTCGCTAAATGAAGGCAATTACTTTAAAAGAAACTTAATATATGTATTTTACTGGTTTGAATTCAATTAAAATCACAAGAGTAAATATTATTATAAAATCCAAATAAGACCGACCAATACTTTAAGCAAGTCGAAGGATTACTCAGAATATTAGTAGCAAAATATATTTATTTATTTAGTTATAATAAAACTGTCTTAGCTTGAACTTTGGCAGACTAATTAAACTGCAGCAATTAATGCATGCCTCTCACAGTTTGTAATTTAAATATTGGGTTACATCTGTAGCTAATCATCTATGAAAAGCATACATAAGGCTGAACAACATTAGGAAGGATTTCTCACAAAAGCTAGCAACAAAATATATTTATTTAGTTAGTTATAACAAAAGTGTTTAGGCTTCAACTTTAACAAACTAATTAAACTGCAGCATTTAATGACTGGGTCTTCTTTGCCCAATGTGTAAGCCTTTTCATTATATTTCAATTATAATTCATGTATAAAACGGATGATTCATTCTCCATTTATGAATCTTAGTCGCATTTATTTAAATTAAACATTTAAGTCTGCAACAATTTGAAACAAACTTCAATTCCATCTATTCAGCTTGATCAACCATATGTTTTTAACTTGTTTTAAGGTAAATGCATTACTAATTCAACGAACTGCTGCCAAATCGATGGCCATACAACATGTCGTGCCTTTTGAAAACCCAATTTGCTTAGGTTGTAGCCGGCTAAACCTGATGTGTGTACACACTGGACCACAAAAATGTTCACATTGTTTTGTTGCAGTTCGTGTCCACTTCTGCCATGCATATTTTACAGCACACACACGGGCAACAACAACAAAAATACAAAATGGCATGCAAAATTTTGAATTCACAACCGCAAAAGTGAATTTTTGCATACAAATCGATTGCAAGTTGGAAGTGCAAAATTTTAGCATTTAATTGCTGGCATGTAAAATGGCCCAACAAGCCAGTTGCCTGTTCTCTGCGGTGTTGTGGCCAAAAGTGATGCATTTTAGAAACTGTATATGAACTGTCCAGTATTTGGCCAAAAAGGAACAGCAGCCGTTCGATGCCATGCAATCAAGTGAAAGTGCAAAAATTGTGTGCATTGTATACGAATATTCAATGATGTCTTTAGGTTCACGCTTGAGCCAAGCACAGATTTATGCAAATTGCGTAAGCTTCTGAGCCGCAAGTTGCAATTGATATGCAGGCGAATAAATGTTGGCTTGATGGTGCAGAGAGGTTGCAGAGGTAATGGCATCACTTGGACCACGATATTAATGTTGATGAGCGTCCGTCGCTAATGAGCAGCACATCAAACTTAATAGCCAATGGTCTAGGTTTGTCTGTGTGTGTATTCTGGTGGTTTGTAGCTCCCCAATGGAGGGGCCCCTATAAATTATAGAGCGCCGTCAAAATTTGTCTTGAGTGCAGACAGGCATAAGAACGCAATAGACGCATAGACGCATAGACCCATAGACCCATAGACCATAATCATGCTAATAATTATGGCAATTCCTACAGACATTTGTGTCTAATAAATATTTCGGCCATTTAGCTAGCACCATGGGCATAAATATTATACAAGTGGATGTAAAATGGCACACAAAAGCGCCAAAAAGCAAGACAAATAACATTTTTACATTGCTTCAGATGGGCGAGCGGAGAGCTCTATCATACTTATATTGCTTTGCCTGCCTGCTTCTGCAATTTTGTGACAGATTGGCAAAATTCCAAAAAAATACTTATATACCTTGCATTGTCCCTCTCTCTGTGTGTATGAGTGGGGGTGTGTGTGTGGCCATGGATAGGCATTTTGAAATTGAGATAAACTCTGCGACAGGCACGTAAAGTGCACTGTTTGAAGGTTAGCAAAGATTCTTGTACTAAATCCCAAATATGCAAAGCTTTAAATGATTATAAATGTTGTAAAAGAATAATAATGAATATTTTGTTATTTTCTAATTTTAATATATCATAAAATGTTTAAATAATTGAATAAAAACTAAGCTAATAGACTGTATTCGAATTCATATTTATCAGACAATTAGATGTGTATTTATTATTTTTAAACGATTTTTGATCGAAATCTAAATATTTATCTTGATATTATATATGTATAATGTAACATATATATACAAAATATATATTAAATATATGCTATCGAATTAAAAAGCGCCAAAACCAACCAAATGTTATATTTAGATAATTTACCTAAAACATAAACCCCAACTTTTTGTTATTCCATGAGAAAACTGCTGGCTTAAGTCAACTAATTTGTTCTATTAATATTTTGTTTATATTTGAAGCGCTTTTGTTACTACTGTAACTAATGGATATATGAGTTTTCACCCATTCTATGAAATGCTTATCGGCAAGGAAGAAATGTTTCGCCCCCCTAAGCTTCTTTTGCCATAATCAATAGGCATTTGCATAAACAAAATATTTGTTTAATGCCAAGCAATTGCAATCCAATTCAGATTGTGTACATTCGATATGTTTACCTTTAATTTATGTGATTATCGACATTATTACGTAAATTTGGAAGCTGTCATTGAACAGGCTAAAATCATTTTAATTAGGCAAAGATAAATCCAAGTTTGAGTTGAAAGCAACTTCTATTGATATTTAAAAATACATGTCTTTCATTTATTCGAAGAATTCCAATTAAAATGCAGTTATAATTAATGCCATTAATGTCCAAAATAGGAAAAAAAAAGAAGAACAGTCAGCAAATGGATTTCGGCAAAACTAAAATTTCCGCACGTTCCCATAGATACACGAGTGTAGCTGACAGCTGCTGTGTAATTAATGTGATTTATTTCTCGCTTTATATATATATAGATTAAATTTTTTCTATTACTATTGATCGCTGTGCAAAACTTGTATAAGTTTCAGTGAGTAGCAAAATTGCTTTAATACTTTTGCTGAATGGCCAATTAGAGTTTGTTGAGGCTGGAGGGAGTATAGTCGCACATATGTATATTCTGATAAAACCCTGCGGCTATGTCATATATTTACAATCAATTAAAACGCGTAAAACGCGTTGCCCGCAAATTTCATTACGAACGGAATTTCTGCATGTGGCTTGTGCTGTCTGTTGGTGGTGGGTGGTGGTTGGTGGGTGGTGCGGGTGGTGGGTGGTGCGGGGTTGTGTTGGTTCAGGGATTGGCTTCAGGCCGGGCTTTCGTTTGAATGTGAATCGCTTTCTGTGTCACTTAAATATGCAAAAGTAGTTACACACGCACACAGACAGGCGCAGACACACACACACACATGGTATAATATCACTTAATATTTAATCGAATTTGCACATCGCCGCCAATGTTACTCACAACAAATAGAAAACGAAATAAAATGTAAACCACACAATGATTGACTATAATAATGCTAGACTTGGCAGATACCCTGCAACAAATGACATTTAACAACAGTTTTTTATATTCTTTAAATTTATATAAATTTACAAAAAAAAGTAAAAAGTAGGTAAAGAGAGTACATATTTTGTAATACTTTGGTTTTGTTGTACAGTTTTTATACCCTCGTAGATGATATTATAATTTTGTCATGAAATGTGTAGCTCAAAGTAGGAGATATCTGCAATATCTCCAATAAAACATATATATGCTAAGCTAGCATCTTCAGCCGAGTAGATAGATATGTCGGAACCGGCTGGATCCGACCACTATATCATTGGAAATTCGAAATTTAAATACTTGTATGAACAACTCTTTTCTTTATCGGGATATTTTGAACTAACTCGTCATTTAAAAGTTTCCCTATGCTCCCTACATATGTATATGCAAAATCTTTTCAAATCCCTATATATATCATATATGCCATCATAGCTGGCAAAGTAATCTGTTTTCCAAAATATTTTCATCAAATTCAGTATTTAAGAGCTTCACTATTCTCACATATCTGAAAATGGCAAATGTCCACAGGAGTATTAAATCTTTGACGTGCAGAAGATATCCTTACTTTTTCATTTATTGTTGCATTTAAATTTACGCTGTGAATGAATTTGCATAGAAATACGAGAGATAATATTATATATTTTAAATAATATACGAATAAATATATAATTATTTAATATAATGATGTCAATCTATTTCAAATATTCATGATAATACTAACAAGTATTTTATTTTTGGTTTATTTATAGGAAGTTGGTAGTATTATTGGTAAAAAGGGTGAAATTGTCAACAGATTTCGCGAAGAGGTGAGTAAAAGCAAATATTGAAACTACAACTAAAATGTTTATACTCATATATACCCTACAATTCTTTACAGTCTGGTGCCAAAATTAACATTTCGGATGGTTCATGTCCGGAACGCATTGTAACGGTATCTGGCACAACAAACGCAATCTTCTCGGCATTTACGCTAATTACAAAGAAATTCGAAGAGGTATGTGTGCGCTAGCCAAATCGAAAAGAGATGCGCGTGGCAAGTGTAGATTGCATAAGACAATAATTGATACAAAACACACACGAGCAACGCATGCGGCAAGAGAAAGTCTTGGTTTGAGAATATCACAGTGCTCGTAGTGCTTATTGTATCCAATTGTTGAAATTAGCTCACGCTTCACATTACTAACTTGAAACCCGTTTCAGTGGTGCTCGCAGTTCAATGATGTTGGCAAAGTTGGTAAAACTCAAATACCCATTCGATTGATTGTGCCCGCCAGTCAATGTGGATCGTTAATTGGTAAGCACATAAGCCAAATATACATATACATCTATATACAAATGTGAACTCATTAACCTGCTCTCTTGTCTATCAACAATTTCATTCTGCGGCATTCAGGCAAGAGCGGCTCAAAGATAAAGGAAATACGCCAAACCACGGGCTGCTCCATACAGGTGGCCAGCGAAATGTTGCCAAACTCCACGGAGCGTGCGGTTACTTTGAGCGGCAGCGCTGAGCAGATAACCCAATGCATCTATCAGATATGTCTTGTCATGTTGGAGGTAAGAGCTATTCTGTTAAATTACAAATTTAAATAAACTGACTTGTGGCGCCATCTATGGTTAGGCAGCTGTGCTAACTTGTCTTTTCTTGTTAACTAAAGGGAATATATTGAAATTGTTTCAAGATATATATCCTTATTTTATTTAAAGCAATTTTTCTAAGGCCTAACAAGTTCAGTTTATTTATTACCAATTGACATACTCATGATCTTACTTTCTTTTTGCACACACAGTCCCCGCCACGCGGTGCTACCATACCGTATCGACCAAAGCCGCAAGTAACTGGCCCAGTTATCTTGGCCAATGGACAGGCCTTTACCATACAGGGCAACTATGCGGTGCCCACACAAGAGGTATGTGCACAGTGCCCAAAAAAGTATATTTTCCCTACGCTAAGTCGTGTTGGTAGACGTAATCGAAATATCAAATATAACGCCGCATTCTATAGCTAGTTACTGCCGCTGAATCTTTCTATGTCTATATCTACATATATTTTTTTTAATATATTTTAACTGATCCTCAATACATTTTAATCCAATTACATTATTTTATTGCCATTTTTCATAAGCTAAATAACATGTTTTTCTGTTGTCTACACTATATTATATACCCATTTGATTTTGGCTATAACTATGTTTGGTTTAGCTCTATGCGCGTCTAGAAACCACAACTTCTCATAACTCAATTGATAAATTAACTTTTTTGAGTTTTATGTAATCTCTTTATATGCCTATCTATGTGTATAAAACGAAACAAGAGTCTTTAGTTTGTTTATCCACTCTACAATTAACTCCAATATTTGAAATGCTCGTTTAGAAAGCCCACTTTTTATTTGCACCTCTCTTTCTCTTTTCTCAACTCTTATCTTATCTTTTCTATATTTGTAATCCACAACCTTTTATTGAACACCCCTTTGACCCTCGGCAGCTGTCTAGAGCCGAAAACGACTTGTTACCCACTTTTTGCCCCCTTGATATGCCCCGAATAACCACCAGTTGGGTTCAGATCGCATTGTATCTAACTGTTGGTGTTCTTTGTCCACTTATCACCCAGTCGATTACCATTTCTTTGCGCTCATGAGCCATATAAATCTTGAATTGTTGAACCCAGCCATAAAGAATATCTCAACTTTTCAAATGTCCACTGGTGGCCCTCCCGAAAATCAAAGAACTAATGTTAATCATTTACAGCAACTAAAAAAAAAAAAAAAATTAAAAATTGATTGACTGATAAATATATTTATAATATTTTTAAATATTTTTTTTTTTTTAGTTTCTTTTGCACTCTCTTCTCTCAGGTTAATAACTTGAAAATGAGAGTGTGCACTCTCTCGATTTCGTCAGGTGCGTGTCGTGTCCAATTATTTTGGGGGCGAACGCACTTTTGGGATCTTGTCTCTTAGGGTTCTACATTGCGCGGCTGCTCACCGTGTAACCGAGTGAGTTTGTGCGGGGGCTTCACTTGTCTGACAACAACATAAAAAGTGTTCTCTCAACTCTCTGTTGTAATCGAAACGAGGGCTCGCGTGCAGCGTGTGGAGAAGTATGTTCAAACTACACTAGCTCTATAATATAATCCAAAAATAATATATATACCTCATAAACAACACACAACAAACCACCAAAAACCAACTTAAACTCCTTTTGAGTGTCAAACGAACAAAAACAAAACAATTAACTAAAAGTATTTCAACTGAGCATTAAAAACAACCCACAAACAACAACTTTCTCTATTTATCCCACGTTTTTTGGTATATCTATATACATAATACTCTTAATTTTGTGTAGTGAATACTTACAACAGACTTTAAAATGTTTAGTTCATTTGCCAAACAACAAACCCATTTTCGAACAATTTTAATCAAGTACAAAATTCACCACAGCAACAACAACAACAAAAACAAACTAATGCGTCAGCAAACAAAAATCAGCAGAAATGCTGATACCTTAGATGAGTTATAAATGCATATTGTGTATTCGTATCGTATATTATCCAACATTTGTCATAAAACAACAACAACAACAAAAACAACAACAACAACAACAACAACTACTACTACAACAATTATAAAAATGCAATTAGCAACTGCAACAACATACTATTCAAATATCGTCCTGCCCGAGCCCTCACATCACTCAACTCTACTCTGTCCGTTTATAATCGCATATACTTAATGCATAAGTATCTAAGTATATCTCTATATATATATATATTTGTTTAAATCCCAGCCCAAAGTTCAATTTTCTGCTCTGTACAGCAGCAACAACAACGACAAGAACAAGTACAACAAAAACAACAACAACAACTTGATATTCAATCCTTTAAGCCCTCGCCAGCCATTGCTCCAAACAATAGTTTAAAACTAAACAAAAAGTTTTTGTTGTCACATCAAATTCAATTAATGTCCGCAAACAAAAACAATAATTCAAAATATTTGTACCATCAACAGCGCTCTCTCAACAAATCGCTCTATATATCTCTATATATTTATATATATATATCATTGTCTCTTTTCCCGTCCCTGGTTATTGTCGGTGTTGGTTTTTAGCTTAATGCGGCGTATAGTGTTGAATGAGTAATACCAGTCAATTGTCGCTATCCACCAGTTGCCAGTTGTCAATTAGGTACGATTAGAAATAAGTGATGAACCAGTTTGGTACACTTGTACCAAATGCTTAACGAAGCCTGGGTACCGATTGATCGGTACCTGAAGTACATTCGGTACATTTTGCTAACCGTGTGATGTGTTTAAAACTATTTTATGAGCTTCTCATAATATATCAAGCTAAAAGAAAAGGTACATTTGTATATATTATTAGAACTTAAAGTTGTACCAGTTTGGTACACCTGTATGAAAAACATGACGAAGCCTGGGTACTGATTGATTGGTACACTTAAGGTAGAGTCGGTACACTCTTTTATGAGTTTCTCATAATATTTCAAGCTAAAAGAAAAGGTACATGTGGTACATTTGTATTTAATTGGGTACACAATTGACAACTATCTGTGGCTTTGCGCTAATTTGATTGACCTTCTCTCATCAAGTACTCTTAGACTCCATCCACGGTTTGCGCACCCATCGATCCCCAATTGACCTGGAACCAGTATCCAGACCCGAATCGTTTGCCTTTTCCTTTGTTAGTTTGTTCTCTTAGTTGTTAAGCATTTGTTTTTGAGAAAATACCAACTCTATATGCGATATATTAATATTCACGATCAGCCTCGTTTACACCAAAACTTTGCACACTGTTTTTTTTTCTCTCTCGCTTCCTTTAAAAAGCTTTGAAAGTCCCAACGAACGCGAACTATGCAAGCTTCCAATTAAAAATAATATAGTGAAATATATTTCATAAGCTTTCTATATTTCAATTATATGCAAAAATATTTTAGCTCAAAATTTATTTTTGGTAAATCATTTTTGTTCTTCTACTTTTTTCTTCTTTGAAAACTTTTGCAAAACAAAAACATCATAAATTCCCACCAAACACAAAATTGAATAAATACCAAATATACCAACAACAAAAAATACCATTAGACTTGTCCAGTATTTCCACTTGCTTTGGCTACCGGTGGTCTACATGCTGGTATTTCAGGCTTAGCGGATCCTTTATTAAAGGGGGCACATTTACAAGGAGCGGTACCAGCACACCACCATCACCTACAGCAAATGCCCGATGTGAGTTTTGATTGATCCGAAAATAAAATTTAAAAAAAATACCTCAACTAGTTTAAAACCTCAACAAAAAGAAAAGCAACCCAAAATCAAATCGGTCGAAAAAAAAAGTTAATGTCCAGCCCGAGAGCCGAGACAGCATTTGATTCTTTTTGGCATGTGTTGCTGTATTTCGAATTGTACCCTCTAGTTGTACATCATTCCCCCCCAGCCTTTGACAGCGCCCCTCCTTATACCGTTGTATTTGTGCATTGCTCTTTGTTGTTACTCGTGTATCTTGTATTTCCCCCCTCCCAGCCATGTAGTTGTTCTCCCCAGTTACCCCCCCGCACCCTGCATATCGTCTGTGTTTTGTAGTTTGTGTTCTTGTAGTTACCTTTACTACCTCTGCCATTTCTTTTACGATCCCAGCGTTGCAACTGTGGTCAGGCCACATTTCAATAACATTAACGTTGTGTGTCCCCGTGCTCCCTGTACCCATGCTCCCCTCATCCCCAAGCAACTGTTGGACCACAAAGTTGTTGGATTTTGTTCTATTTTGTTTTTGTTCATTCCGTTTTTAGTTTTGTTTTTAGTTGGGGCCACCACACTGAAAATCCGGCAACTCGGGGGACCCAGAGCGAACCCATCAAATGCATTTTTATGGCTCAAGAGTTGCAATATAATTTGTGAATTGTTTGAGCCATGCTGTTGTGTGTTGTGGCCCCAAGATGTGTTTATTTAATATGCCAAACGCTACTTTCTATGACGAGTTTTGTGACCCTTTGACAGCCCGCCCGCCCCCTCTTCGCATTGAGTTGCAAGTTCATTTCCATTTGTAAGAGAAGTGCACAGCAAACTATATTTTCATACAGTGCATGTTTTATTTGTTTCTGCATTAGATAAATATTTGATTTAAAAAAAGAACACCGCACACATATTTATTCATTTGTATATGCCAAATATGTGACATCTATATGTATGTGCATACCACACACAGAAATACACATAAACATTTCATTTCAATATTTTATGATTTTTCTTACTCCTTTTTTTTTGTCGCGATATTTGTCCCTTAATTCCATTCGTGTGTTGCACTTTATATAGATCTGTATCTGTGCAACATGCATTCATTATTTGCAAATCTTGCATTCGATTTGATTAATTTATAAAGCGTGCTGCCCTGATGTTGTGTCTGCCTTCCAAAACCCCGTTTGCCCAACATATATACTATATGTATATATATGTTGTACATAATGCATATAGTTGAAGCTGTACAGGATGCGCTGTGCGTGCGTGTGTGTGTGTGTTATTTGCTGTAGGTGTTGTGGATGCAAAACTTTTAATACCTATGCATATGTAAGTCCTTGAACAAATCGTACAAATATAGTTTGTGGGCTGCAGTTTTCAATGCATATGCTGGTTACTGATTTGAATGGAACTGGGTTGGCCTTTCAAAGAGCAGCAAGGAATTCAAAAGTCATCTAAGAAAATAACGACATGCAGGCAAATTGTTTACATTAATCGATGCATGTGCCACAGACTGGCTGAAGTATACTATGTACATCACTGAAAGATTATTAGATCTGCAGATCAGAGCTTTTAATGCTTACAGTTTTTAGAGTATTTACTATTTGGCAAATTCTAATTCGTTATATTTCAACAATAAGCAATTGATATTCATGCTTAAAACTGACCAAGTGAAGGGTATTTCAAAATGTAGTTATTACTTATATTAATTTAAAACAGGCGAAAAATGTAATTTCCTTATATATACCCTCTATATATACCCTATTGCCCTAAACGTCAAAGCTGATCCTGTGAATAATCCAATGTTTATTGTAATTTCATATTTAATGTGTCTAGTCTCTGTCTTTGTAGCTCTAAAATATCCTAAACTTAAATATAAATCCAACTCTTTGTTGTGTAGTACATATGAAACTAGTCTAGAAAATACACAAAGAACACAACAACTACATTAGCAAAAGCCACAGAATACTTTTAAATCCTTGCAGAAAACGAGACAAACTAAATACTGCAACACACACACACACGCAGACTCACACACACACAGACAAATGCTATTTCTTCTAACCTGTACAAAATGTTAATAATGTTTGTCTGATATGTAAACAAAATTGTTTTTGTTTTGGCTTTGCTTTTTATTGCATATGCATTTTTGTTTTAATTCACACTAATTTCAAGTTCTTTTGTTCTATAGTTTCTATTCTTTTGAGTTATTTAATTTTTCATATTTCTCTTGTATAGTTCTTATGAGTTTTCTGCGTTCGTCTGTTTTTTAAAAGCTGTACGCGCGTTGTGTTGTGATACCCGTTCCTATACGAAAAGATAATATCTAACCACATACATATATTTATATGTACAAAAACCGAACCAAACATGAAAGACTCTAATCAAGTAATATGTGCCCATGTACTACCTCTCTCTCAAGAACATAATCATAATAACAACTAATATAATTGATGTGAATAAAGTTTGTAATGTCAAGTTGCCTTTCCAACAGGTTGCCAAGAATCCATTGGCCAGTTTGGCTGCCTTGGGCCTGGCCGGCATGACGCCAGCCAGCACCGGCGGTATAAATCACACAGGTAAGTCCCATCCCCATCCATTCTGTGGGATTACGCAGAGTGTATTGTGTATGCATGTTTGCATTTATGTTGTGTACTAAAAATCGATGGTTTTGCCTTTTACAGCTCTGGCTGCCTTGGCTGGTTCGCAGCTGCGTACGGCCAATGCGAATCGGGCACAGCAACAGCAGCACGAGATGACAGTTTCAAATGATTTGATTGGCTGCATCATTGGCAAGGGCGGTACCAAAATTGCCGAAATACGTCAGATCTCCGGCGCCATGATACGCATCTCGAATTGCGAGGAGCGCGAGGGCGGCAATACCGATCGCACCATCACCATAAGCGGCAATCCAGATTCGGTGGCATTGGCCCAATACTTAATCAATATGAGGTGAGTTGCTCGGCACTTCTAACTATTTAATATATATATGTATGTGTGTGTGTGTGTGTGTTTGTTGTCTTAATACATTTTGTCGAATTGATTTGCAAATTGACAAAGTCAGAAAATAAGGTCTAAGGAGGTCGTCGGTCGTATCGGTCGTCTCGGTCTCTCAGTATTTTTTTTAAGTCATACGTGTTTATGTAGAGAGTCTGGGGCAGAGCGTTCAAAAAAACTCTTGTAATCTTAAGCTTAAACTCAAACTCTACACTAGTGTATTATAAGTCGTAAGCCCGCATTCAGCACCTAACTGCTTTTTTCATATGTAGCTCCAAAATGTACTGAAATGTAACGCACAATTTCATGCATAGACAATACTTGAAACAATTCAGCACCAGAAAACTCTAATCTCTAGCATAACATACATTTCTTTTTAAACCTTTAATTCTATATATTAAAATATATATAACCTAGCATCTAGTATACCAATGTATATATGTGTATATATACACAAAGAGTCTCAGCTCAGCAGTCAAGTTGGAGGAGGAGGAGGAGGAGGAGCAGGAGCAAAAGCAAAAGCAAAATGGACAGCATCAACTAAAACTACGTCACGCGTCGCACTCTCGCACACACAAGCAAATTAAAACTGGAACTGAATCAATTGGTACTTCAAAAAAGAAACTGCAGTTCAACCCATCCACAGAAAATTAAAAAACCAAAAAACACAAAAACCAAATAAAAACTATGCTCCTCTCTCCCCAAACCCGCAACAAACTAAACTTAACCAAAAATCCCACCAAATTAAAGCTCAATCCTATAAAACTTTTAAATACTGTTTCGGTCAAGTCCAACAACTAGAAAAATAACCACGTTTTCTACTCCTACCATCCAAAAATCAAACAAATTTGAACGCCGCTCCCACCATCAACAAACCAAACAAACCAAGCGCCCAAAAGTTCTCCCCAGAACTTTGCTATATTTCCGTTTACTCCGTACCGTTCCTCCACACAAAAACCTCCTTAACCTTTTTTGCATAACAAAACACTAAAGCAATTCAAAAAAATAAAAAATAAAGAACTGACCAACTCAATTCCACAAAATCACCAAAAAAAAAAAAATGTTTTGAAAAATACCTGAAACAAAAAAAATCAACAACAACAATATCCCATAAGTTCCTTTCTCTTTCTTTCTGTCTCTATCTATCTCTCTGTGTACCTCATCCACAGCGTTGAACTGCAGAAGGCCAATCTTCAGGATCAGGCAGCGCAAAATGGCACTGCCGCACTGGCGGCAGCTGTTGGCGGTGTTGCTGCTGCTGCTGCTGGTGGTGCCACAACAACGGCAGCTGCCGCGGCGGCTGCAGCAGCGGCAGCCGCAGTTGCTGGCGGTGTCAATGGCAATAGCTGTCTGACGGCGTCGCTCACGGGCAGTGCCAACAACAGCTCCAGCAGCAGCAACAACAGCAGCAGCTCGGCCAGCAGCAATGGCAGCAGCAGCGGCGCCTCCAATTATGCCACAAACGGCAGCCAGAACAACAACAACAACAGCAGCAGCAACAACAACAGCGGCAGCAACAGCAGCAGCAGCAACAACAACAACGGAGCTAGCAACGCCGCAGCTCTGGGCATAAATTCGACAGCAGCAGCAGCTGCTGCCTTGGGCGGCGGTCCATTGGCGTCGGCCCTGCAACTGCTGACCAAACCGGGCGCCCTCACGGCCCTATCAAATCTGAGCGCCTTGGATCTGCTAAGCCTGACATCGCTGGGCAACAATGGCAGCAGCAGTGGCACGCCCGGCGGACCGCCGGTGCAGACCACGGGCGTTAACCGTGCCAAGGGTCACTATGCGACCTCGCGCTTCAGGCAGCATCAGACCGAGGCCGGCGTCGAGTCGGAGAAGGCGCGCAACAAGTTTAATCCCTACTAGGGGTAGGCCAAATAAATACAGCCAGCGCTAGAAATTAGCCAGCCCAGTAGTCAGTCGAACAACAATCTTGGCAGCCCAAAAGTAATACCCAAATATTTAATGAAAATACCCCAGAAAAATGCGATCATCATTTGCTAATAGTCGAGTTAGTGTTAGCTTCTTCTAGTTCTTAACAAGTTTATAGCGTAGCGACAGCTTAAGAGTTTACGATTCTTGAAGAATTTTGCTCTAGGAAAACGATTTGATTGAAGAATGAAAACAAAAATCTTTTAAGTGTAAAATTTGTAAAACTATTTAAAAATTCAAAGACAATTTTTATAAAACTAGTTGATGGCGGCCCGATCGCTACAGTATCCAAAATAGTTTCTAGTTCAGGAGGCCTATGTCTTTTAATGCCGCATATATCTATTAATGTTTTTTGAAAACAATTATTCTATAAGGCTGTCAAATACGGCAGTTATTTACACATACATACAGATATATATAGACCACTTGAACAAAATCGTTTATCGAATATAGCGAAAGAGGAAGAGCAATGATCATAAGAAATGAAAAATCATGAAACTAGCCCAAGTATTGTAATCAAAAACTTTGACCAAGTGAAATGCAGCATAAGGACCCTTCTCCTAATAGATGTTATAGTCTTTTGCCCTAATCCCTTTTTATATAGTCACATCAACTAAACTATCGTACATTATAGAATTTGCCAAATTTTAGCGCAACCCTAGACAGAGAAGAAAAACCTGAAAGTATAGTTTGTGAATCGCTTTCTATCGAATTTCGATAACAGGTAGCAGTATACATATATATATACATCTAGCACATTTAATATTTACATCTCCCTCCCCTCACACATTTATTGTAAAATATATAGACTTCATCTAGAACCCCGTCACTCCGCCCCCTCCCCTCGATACATTCTCCAATATATCTCTATGAGCAAATTTTCATATTTTCTCTAACTAGCAACTAAGCACTAAATGTATTTTACGCTCTAGCCCCTAAGTATAAAGCCCCTTCTCAGCCATGTGTCGAGAACGCAAATAGGAACTTCTTAAAGAAGTTCAACGAGAAATTAAAACAAAAATTAAATCTAAAAATTCCAATGCATTGTGCTCAAAAGAATTTGGCACAGCGACTTTTATGGACCAATTCGCTCTAATTGACGCAATCCACGCAAGTGAGCGTACAAAAGCTTAAAAATACTTACTACAAAAATTTTAGAGAAACAGAAAAAAACACACTTAAATGAAGCCAACTGAAGGCAGCGAGAGAAACATTTGTACTCGTAAATGTTGTTAAGCGTAAAGTTGATTGAGAAACGAGAAACGGGAAACGTTATTATGTATTGGACTTGAAGTCTTCAAATTGTTTTTAAGTCACATTCGGATTAGTTGTAGCCATTAATTTGGTATTTTCTAAATTATTGTATTGTATTTATTATACGATCGTATATTTGTTATTATTATTATTATGTTAATATTATTTTGTATTGTATAATCAAGCAAATAAAACCAAAATATTTGTAAATTGGTGAAAAATGATTGTTGAAATGAAAAAAAAAAGCAAAAAAGTATTTGGAAATTGAAATTTCTCTACCCTTTTACACAATACATACGATTAAGAATTTTTATTATTTACTAAGTGAAATGACACAAATTGTAATAAATTTATTTTTAAGCTAAGCGGGCTTACGATTTTATAACCAAATCATATACATATATACAAAAAAAACATAAACTAACTTAAAATACATACACGTATATTATACGAGATTTACACAAAGTAGAGATCGAGTCAAATGCAAATCGATAATAGTTCGAGTAATGAATGTAAATGTACTAACTAACTACTTTTCATGAATAGACACACGAAGGAAAACAAATTACCATAAAAAATTACCAATTTAATGAAATCGCTTTTTACCTTTAGTCGCGATTCTTAGCTGCGAACAAAAACTAAAAAAAAACAAAACCAACAAACAAGCAAACATATTTATATGCAATCAAAGCAAATTGTAATGAAAACTGCGTTTGTAATAAAAATGAAGAAATACTAAAAAAAACATACGACCCCAATGAAATCTAATAACAATATTTTATTTAAGCTTTCTTTTAGAACAGAAAAGTAAGTGCGGGCTTGATCCAGTTTTTAAAGTTTAAAGTGAGAAAGGTTTTTGAAAGAATAAAGCTAGTTTTATTAATTATAATATTAGTCTCCAGTTAGGGATCTACATTTAGCTCTTGTCCAAATTATACGTATTCAATTATTTCGTTGTCTTATGATATTTATAGAATTTTGTTCCCATAACGAACAGAACAAAAACGAAGAAGGAAGATTAATAAGTATATCTTTATTAAATTGTAGCAACTGCGTTATTATAGTATATCTAACTTAGTCATAAAATAAATAATCCAAATGATAACATTCTACAAAAGGTTAGTTCATTGATCCAGCTTGCAGCTTGTGAATACCAGAGACATACGTGAACCCATTTTAAAGTTAAGGCACAGGCACGACATAAGCAGCAGAGCTTCGCGCACACTTTTGTTAAAATGCATTTAAATTTACAATAATTATCATAAATAGAACTGTTCTAAATCGTGTTCTCTTACCTTGCAGAATATCAATGGAGACCGCTGGACTGCCCATACCCGGCTATCACTATATCGCGCCCAGTGCAATTGTTAAAACGCCCATACACTAAGTGCAACGCAACTACAACAAATAACAACAACAACAACAACAACAACAACAAACAAATAAATAATACAAGCAAAAAGCAAATCGAATGGAGCCGAGAAACTGTCGCAATTGACAACTGACAGCTGACAGTGGAAGCGGCAATTTCAATAAGCAATAAGATAAAAAACATAAACATAAAAAACACAGTAAACAAATCATATGACAAGGTCAAATCACATGAAGAAGAAGGAGCATAAAGCATCAGATGTCATACACAGAAACACAGCTCCCACACAAACACACATCCACACACACACACATCCACACACACACGCATCCACGCCCATACAAACATGTAAGCATATATACACGTTATATTTATTCATTGATTCTTATTAATTATGATATTTTTTATTAAGTTTAAAATCAAAAAAAAAAACAAAAAAGAAACAAAAGCTAAAAATAATAAAAAATGAACCTTATGTTAAAACCGTTTTCGGGCGCAAAAACTTCACAGTATGCGCGCCCTCAAAGTAAGAACAGAACAGCAATTAATTCTAAGCTTAGTCAAAATGAAGACAAATGCAGCAAAGCAGAAAACAAAAAAACCATAAACATAAATAAAATACAAATATTAACCAACAATACAGCAAACAAAACATAAATGCAAATTTCGAAATGCAGTTAAATCTTAAGCCAAGTAATTGTGCGTGTGCATAACCAAAAAAAAAAAACGAAGAAAGAAAGAAAACAAACAAAAAGCATAAATAAATACACTTACATCAACATAAGGCATAAACAAATAAATATAAAACGCAAAAAGGGTATAACAAGATTTAATTAAACCAAGCCAAGCCAGGCCAAAACAGCAAGCAAACAAAGCAAAGAGACAAGCATAACAAAAACAAAACAAAACAAAATTAAAATACTAAAAACAAAAAACAAAGAAATGAACAATTATTTTCGACATCAATTTCATGTGTTTGTTGCTTATATTCATATGAATTGCATCGATTCATATAAATATAACACGCTGCACAGATTACATTATAAATTCATATATTAATTGATATCATAATTTTTAATTTTATTATTTTTATTATTGTAATTGTTATCGAAATTGTATTTGTGATTTTTGAATATGTTTAGACTGAAGGACAAAATTAATTCATTTTATTGATTAAACTACATATAAAAAAAAAAACTATTGAATAATTAAATAATTAAATTAAATTAAATTAAATTTAATACAACTTGATTTTCAATTTTCGAAATTAGTTATAATTTGTTGAACGCGAAAGAAAACAAAAACTGATCGTAACCTTTGAAGCCAAATTTATATATTTGTTAGACAACGCTGTTTTTTTTTATTATTATTATTTTTTGGTTTTTAGCGAAAACGTTAAATTAAGTGTCCAAATTTAAATTACAATAATAATGCTTAAGCACATTTGCGGCGATTAAAAAGACTTTTTCTGCTAAATGAGAAAATGAGAAAAATGGATTTAATTTTATTAATATTGCAATTATGCTTAAATTAAAGTATAATTTTATTTTATTAGCTGTTAAATTTATACGCAAAACAACAAAACATCAAAAATAAACTGATTTTCAATGTTAAACTTACTTAAATTAATTTTTTTTAAAGTTTAGTTCTCTAGGCTGGGCACTAAAAAGCAAAAAAAAAAAGAAAGGAAAACAATTAACTGTGGCTTCTTAAACAAAAATTAGTTAATAATTGTAAGCCACAAAAATAACAATGCACACACACACACACACACACACACTAACACACATGCAAAGGCATATTGAATATTAATAACAATTTATATGTGTGTGTTAGTTTAGCCTGTAGCCGAGACATCAATCCGTAAGCTAGTTAAAAAGTTTGTTGCAAATACTTTGTGAGTCGGCAGCTCGACCGCGAGCTCTCCGCCCACAGGCGACAATATGTGTCAAATTTTGATTATACAAATTAAATTAATGCATAAGAAACATACATACAAAAATACAAAATTAATATAAATAAATACAAAAAAATACCCATACATATCCACATCAAAAATAAACCAATTCAAATTCAAACAAATTAATATAATCATCAGCAAATGAAATTATTCAAACTACAAAACATATAATGGCAAACATATCCCAAAAATACACATATATTATTTAATTGACAATTAACAAAAGAATTCATTTCTGCAACAATTCTATGAGAACAATTTGTGGGCTAATGGAATTTAAATTCAAAGATTTCATTCATTCAATTATTTTGCAAAGTGGGCGAAGACATGGAATACTTAGCAAAAGAAGTGCATGTCTTTCTTATTTTCCCCTATCTATATACTTGCATAATAATATTAATAATAACAACAACAAAAAACACTTATGAAGCAAAACTTGATTACAGGAAATTGTTAATAGCATAAAGAAAAAAAAACAATTATAATAATGATAAATGCATTATTGTTAACTGAAACACACTCTCTACTTTTAATTGACTAAAAACTAACATAAAAAATACAAAAAAAAACAAAGCAAAAAAAATGCGGATCAAGCAAAATGTGTAACACAGGCAGCAAAATATCAAGCGAAACTATTTCGTGATTTTAGAGACAAATATTTCGCTGATGACAATTTGAAGCAATCATTTTTGAAAAAACAACAAATAATTAAACAAAGAATGAACGTTAAATGGAAGCAAAACCGTATATCTATATATAAATAAATTATATATCTATATATAAATATACATACATATATATTAAATTAATTATTATGTACACTTGTATTTAATTGTATTTGAAATATTTAGTAAATTTTTTGCGCAAGTTACAAACCAACTAAATAAAACAAAAAGAAAATCCAAAAAAAAAAACAAAAAAAAAATCAAAACCAAAAACTTAAATAATATAATAAAAGGTCGCACGTTGACGGGTTAACTGCGGATAGTAGCTGGGACTAATTGTATCATAACAGTAAACAAAAGGGATAAATTAATTATGTGCATGTGTGTGTATAAGCAACTACATTTAAAATAGCTCAAATACAGCAACAACAACAACAACAACAACAATTTCAAATGAATTTTTACTAATTAATGTGTATGTGTATGTAAATTATTAAATACAATTTGTTGAAAACTTGTAAATTTGCAAAGGAAAAATACGTGTAAGAAAAGCAATTTTAATGGTGCCTTAAAAACCAAACCAAGCAAATTTCTTCTTGCCCCAGATACTCGTCAAAAAAAAAAAATGAATACCAATAGCACTTGGCATTGTGTATATAATACTGGCATGTGAGTTTTCTACCTTTCCGCAGCGTTTCTCTCAACATTTCCTCTCAACTTTCCCTGCTTCAGCATTGCGTGTTAAGAGGCTGGCAATGTGATTAATGTAGCGTATTTAGTTAAATACATATATATATATTTACGAATGTATGTGAAGGGAGGATGCATAAGCCTTTTTCGACATAAAGAACTTATCCCTTTTAGAGACATATGACCCAAAATTGCTCAAAGCTATTCGAGTTTCAACAACATCCAGTGTGTAGAGTTGCCCGTTATAGTACTTGAAAAACATATAATACAAAAGACAAAAGAAAAAAACTAAAGAAAAACAAAAAAACGTATGATGTATTTACATGGTAAATTTATGTAATAAACTTAGCTGCAAGTAGTATTCGAACAAAATAAAATTTAAAACACCGAAAACCCGACACATTATCCGGAAATATAAGCAATTAGTCAGCAAAATAACAATATATACATATATAATATACAAACACTCAGATAAAAAAACACAAACAACACACCACATATAAATGTTTCTCTCAGTGTAATTACAAATCACTTGAATGTATTTGCTCACAGTTTTACAATACATGTCAACAACAAAAAAATATATAAAAAATTCTACACAATATGTGGATAAACAAAAGCATTTAAGGCACTTGACATATGGAATGCTGGATAGATGAACGGATATAAAATAATTGTTAAAATGCAAATATAGGAAAAGATAAAAATGAAAGCAAAAGCAAACATATTTATATACATATACATAAATGAAGGAGGTATAACAAAATGAAAGCAGAACAGAAGCTTATAATTAAGGTATTTTAGATATTCTTATTTAATATCCAAAGAGAGAAAAGTGAACAAATTATACGAGATGAATTTTTAATTTAGACAACATATGAAAGGGAAACGTGTTGGAAACCACAGCGGTAAATTCGGGTTGAAGTGAAAAAATTAAGAAAATATGCAAATTTATTAACTAAATATTGGTGTTAGAAATTGTTAAGAAAAACCTTTAACTGAAAACTCATGTCATTCGCCATAGAGCAGGCAATACGGAAACATACTCAATTACACTAGCTGAAACTGGCACCTAAGCACACATACATTATTCGCAAATGTAGAGCACATATATTCTAGAAAATATATCGATTAAAGGCGAGAGATAAGAATAGTGATAAATTGTAGCCAACTCAGCTTAGGTGCGCCTTTTAATCATTTAACAAAATATAGTTTTAATTCGAATCTAATTTACGACTTGCTTTTAGGTTTATTTTTTCAGGTTATTGTTGAAAAATATAACCTGGGCAATAGATATATTCAATAATTCTTTGATTGATTCTTGATAGATTCTCTACAAATATCATACTTAATATTACTAAGGTCTTTCGTTGGGCTTTGAGTGACAGGATTAATCCTTTGTCTGATTGACTCTTTATAGATTTCCAAGTTAAATCTTCTCTGTTCTACAAAACTCATAGTTAATACAGTTTGGGTCTCTCGAAGAGATAGGCCTCTCAAAAGAATCTCTCTTAATATTCTCTGCTCTACAAAAACCTTACATAATCTTGTTAAGGTCTCTCGCTGGCTTTCGATTAACAGGATTAATCCTATGTTTGAGTGCAATTTTCAGCTAGTCTCATTGGGCCTTGTGCTTAGCCTACGAACATGGCTAGATGATAGGGATAACATAGTATGGGAAATGTTTTGAGTTCTTCGGGCATAGAACAATTGATTTGTCTATCCTGCATATGGTGAATTGAGCATTTTCTCGATTTCCATATCGTTCAGTGATTTTCAAAGCTTTGGCGCAGACAGTGCAAGCAGATAATAATAATAATAATAATAATAATATAAAAGAAAAACATTTATTCGTATAACATTTTGTTGCAGCATTATAATGAATGGTTCAATGCCAAGAAGAATAAGTATCTACGTGTATTCCAATTCATCAAAGCAATTGAAAAAGGAAAATAGAAGGCATATTGCATATTGCCAGTAAATACATATACGAAACAGCTAAGGTTTCTCTGAAATTAAAATAAAATATTAAATAAAATCCAAAGAAAAAAAAAAACAAAAAAATACAACATATAACCAGTAAATTATATAGAGCAAAGGATTAACTACATACATACTTACATATATACACACAAATACATATACAAAACGGAAAAACCAGACACATAGCATGCACTCTCTCTCTCTCTCTGTCTCTCTAACAGACAATATCTCTAGAGATTGTTGACGGGCTGGCGGAATTGGAATTGTAATTGGCGAAGAACAAAAAACTAAAGAAATTATTAGCACATTGCACATACATGGAACTTACAAACTGTTTATTACGTGTTTGTATATGTGTAAAATCTATAAAACCAAAATGAAAAGAAAACAAATCTAATTAATAATAATCATAAAACGGAAACACTATAAAGACAATTGCATTTCCGATGAAACAATTTGAAGAACTCGTAAATTAGCAATGAGAAATTAGTTGTTAAGTGTCTCTAACTGTCTTTTATTTGAATGTGAAATAAAAGAATGAAAATGCAGAGTAAAATTGATAAAACTGAACAATTGGGATCAACTTATATTTAAAATATAAGATTAAATTATAATAAAAACAAATACACAAGCATAACGCATTACTAAGGCAGCCCCAGAGTTGTTGCTAGTTGCTAGCTGACTAACTCAACCAAGTACTTTGTATGATGTACATATACTATATATGAAAAGTATTGCATAATTGTGCCAAACACAGCAACTTTAAATAACAAACAGTTCAACCAAAAAATACAAACAACAACTGGCCAAATGTTTTTCTTTAAATCAACAACAACAACAACAAGAACAACAACAAGAACAACCACAGCAACAACAACACAAAGTGAAAAATTTGCTTTTTTGTGGGGAACAACACATAGGAATTATACGAATTTCAACAATACGCAGATTTATGTATGTGAATTCATTTGAAAGCCAATAACATTGACAGCTATTTAAAGTTCATATTGCGCAAAAGGAGCTTATTTAAAACCGCAACAAAAACAAAAACAAGAAATGTTTAAAAACAAAATAATATCAAACATTAACTAAAACTTAAGTAATAAACAATCAGAGAAGCTGATTCATTTAACGCTGGCTTCAGTTTACAATAATATTTATGAAGTGGCTGTATTTTTTTAAGTTTAAATATACTATGCGATATATTTTTGAAAATGCGTGCCAAAATCTGAATGTTGATTGCCTCACATTCTCAAAGCATTTCAATTGAGATGTGTATCCTAATTTCAATATTCTTGCTATATAGTGTATAAATTTAAAAATGTCTAAAAGCGTTGCATACTTTTTTTGAGGCAAAATATATTTATTTGTGTCGTAAAAATCTTCTCTCACATTTAAATTACAAGTGTTGAATTCTTATTATTTTGAAAAATGAAACAGTCCTATAATAAAAGAATAAATACTTATTGCGTATAAAACGAGAAAATATTTGAAAAACCATATTTACAAGTTGTAGAAAACTGCAAGGCAATCATAAAACTAGAGCTTCAATAAATAAAATGAACAATGTCATAAATGAAATTGGAAACAACTTTAAATATTTGTATGTCTGGCTAAACAAATTGATTGTTGAAAATGCCAAAGAATGTTTTTGGATAAATATATATTTAAGCCAATCGAAAAAAGAATATTTGCGTTATTATTGTGGTGAAAGATGAAATGACAAAAAACTAAAAGTTAGTGCCAATTTGTAGTGCAAATTTTTGTTTGCCAATTTGTTTAACGGATTTATTCTCTATGTTGAAACTGTATTCAAAGTACACACAAAAACAGTTGGTTTCAGAACCACCAATTTTTGGAAATTTTCAAACAATTTAAACGATAATAGTTAATAATGTAAACTACTTAGAAGACAGCACCGCTTCGTTTTTGATGTGTATAGAACAAACAAACAAACAAACAAACAACAACAAAAATGACAAGATTAATGAGAATTTAATTCAATTGGAAAACCGAAAACTAACCCACAAAAAGTAGTTACATAGCTTTAGAGCTGAAAACAAAGAAAACACACACACACTTTCTGTTCTTTGCACAGCTTACACAAAAATGTTGAAAGTATCTATACAGATCGTACTCTTTTTGTAAATGGCGAACACACTGGAAATGACAACATCAGATCCATAAATCGTATTTGAAAGCAGCACTGAAAACATTTTTAGATTACAATAAAAGAAAAATGAATTAAACGGAAAATTGCAAAAAAAAAAATGGAATAAAATGATAATTAAATTAAAACTTGTTTATCTGTGTACAACAATAATATTTAAAATACTTCTTAAATGTGTACTATCACTCTATACAAAAGTAATACAAGACAAGAATAAATTGCATTGCATAGATACAAAAGCAACACACGCTACACATACTCGTACAGGACTCTAGAGTGGGCTGATCGATCTATGGGACTATCAAAACAATTTATATATAACTTGGAATTGATACAAAATCCGAGAAATGCTGAAATGAGATCTAAAAGCCAAGCCGATAAATATGAATTAATTGTGTAGATTTGAAAAACTCGGCATTGCGAACTATTGGAATGTTAAATCATTTAAAATATGCAGATTCCCATATGATAGGGCTCGTCAGACACCCAAACATACATACATATACAAGAATACTTGCAAACATATTTGTTAGGCACATACATACCCGAAGACAACATAATCACAACAAAGTTAAAGCAAACACACAACCATTTAACTACATACAATAAGCAACGGTAAAAAAGCGGTATTAATACATCATTGCAAACATAATGGCGAAATGTACAACAAAAAATGGTAAAAAGTTGAAGGAATACAAAAAAAAAAACAAAAAGAAAAATAATAATACAAAAAAAAAAGCAAACATTATTTACAATATATTTACAATTCTATAAAAATTATATTTAAAAATATTTACATATATAATATATATGGACAAATACAAATCATCATGTGTATGTACTTATGTACGAGTATGTGCAATACGCATACATACACACACACACACACACACACACACACACACACACATAGACAGACATGAACATTACCAACACACACAGACATCGTAAATATGTTAAACAAAAGTTATACACACACACACATACATGCATGTGCAATAAGAAAAAAGAAAAAAAAGAGAAGCAAATGGAGATACACACAAAGTTAAGTGCATTATAATTGAATTTATAGATTTAAAAGGCAAAAAACAAAAGGCATACAAAATGTTCAAGCTATTAAGTGAATTATTTAAACCGATTATAGTAATGATTAATACCAGTGCATATGTATTTATTCACTACTCATATAAACATCATATATATATAAACACATATATATATACATACATATACATATACTGCAACTTTTTCGTTGAAATTCAATTACGTATCAAATTTTACCATCATATCATCAATATACACAGACACCTCAACGCCCACACACACACACACACACACACACACACTAACACACACATATACATATTGCAAATTTAGCCAAGTCAGAAAGAATTTTAAAGAAACCAAATACAAAGATAAGTGTATTGCGTTCTCGAACTAAATGTGTTTTGAGTCAAATTTTTACTTCAAATACCAGCAAAAATAAATAAAAAATAAAAAAAAAACCAAAAAAAAAAAAAACAGTAAATAGCAAACAAAGAACACAAAAACATAAGAACACTGGAATATTTGGAGATTCTTTCTATATGTATTGGGTGTGAATTAAATTGAAATGTACCAGAAATGGGGATAAAAACATGGATATGAAAACAAAAGAAACAAAAACGTCAAACAGAATTAAACACAATTTTTGAATTCATTAAATAAAGGTATGTGTTTAGATATATTCAAACAAAATAACAACATATGTCTTATTTATTAACACAGTCCATCATGAAAACGTAAGTATATTAAAGTGCATTAACAAATAAATTAAATAACACTCACTGCAAAACCACCTAGAATTTTTGAAAATCGCATAGAAAGGTTTACTTAAGAGAGTTAACACGTGAAACAAAAATATATATGTAGAAAAGAGAGAGCGAGAGCGAGTAAGAGTAAAACAAAGAGAGGGAGGTCTACATACTGCTGAAAATAATGTTAATCAGGTCAGCATTACTTGAATTCCGAGAATCGTGTCGTAGTGCGATTCTCATTCACAAGTGAATGCAAAAGTTGCAAGCCTTTATTAATTATACATTCAACTTTATAGAACAGACAGGCAGCATGTAAATACGCTTTCTGGCACTCTAACCTGTTGCAAAAGCCAATATAATTTATAATTAAACTGCCGCAAAAAACCCAAAGTATTTAACGTGGTTTTCCACAAAGCTTTAAAGTTTCCTAAGGTTTTTCTACAATATGACAGGTTAATAATAGCCCAGGCACGCAGCTAATGGGCTGAATATTTACAATAGCTGACAGTCGTGTAGATCCGAAGGGAAATGCAGTCAGTCAGACTTAAAAGATTTTTGAGCTATTGCAAAACCTTTATTTTTTGTTTTATTATGTTTTTTAGTTTAAAATGATGGCGTAATACTTTTTTTGTTGAACCCCAGCAAATAAAAATGTAGCAGCACGCCAATTTTGATTTTGTTTGTCATTATCCATTCATAAAATGTGCCGAGAAAAAAGTTTATATAAATAAATATAAAAGTGTCAACATCAAACATAAATAAACAATAACTTATGTGCACGAGTCTCTGTCCCATTCATAAAGAAAACATCAAGCGAGCGAGAGTGAGAGCAAAGAGAGCGCCAGTGCGTACCTGTGCAGAGAGATTAGGTGCGGGAGCAATGTTCGCATTTATAAACAGTTTCTACTACTACACAAACTTATATGTACTATTAGCATTTTTGATTGGGACATGTGATAGTCGGGTTTGCGATTTGTTAACACAGCTGATTACGTCGACAGGGCAAATGGCAAATGGTCGTGACTGCGACAGGCGGCACAGCATAAAGCACGTGTTGATGTGCAATTCGAAGCAAAACAAAATAAAACTGAAAACAACGAAAAAAACCCCAAAATGGGTCCATATAAAGAAACCCTCAATGTCCACCTCATTGCTTGGCATTGCCTATTTGCATAGTCGTTAGAATCGATGGCAATTAAAACCCAACTCGCATACGTGCCCGAAATAAAGTGCAGCAGGTGAGCGAATGTTTGCCTTGGAACAGGTTGTCTTTCAGCATCGTTTGCTTTTATTGAATGTCAATGCAATTGGAAATTCATTAAAACTGCATGGAATGCTCTCAGCGTTTTTTTTTGCATATAAACAGCATGGAATGCTCACTTCGGGCTAAAAAGCTTAATTAGGTTTTATTTTGCTTGAAGATTTTCAGTGCTGCACATTAATATTTTTATTTTCATTTTATTTAAAACGCCAGATAAAAATAGAGCGTATTTTAGTTTGGAAATAACATGCTGGCAGCACGTGATAAATATATATATATATATATATATATATATATATATATATATAACTTAACTCGAGCCGACCAACTGAAAACAGGTCATTTATCAAATTTAGTCATACGTTCCAAATAGTTTGTTAAAGAAGAAAAATAATTGTGAAACGTACTTGAGGAGAATAATGATTTTAATAGAATATATTTTTATAAGATGCCGTTTCCCTTATCTAATTTATTTACTTAACTACTTTAACATATTATTAAGAATTCGCCATTATTTAATGCCCATTTCTCCTAATCGAGAGTGTACAAATTTCAACGAAAACATTGATTAACTTCGACATTGAATAGACTCGTTATCAAAGATGTATTCGCTTAACTATGGCAATCTTATCAAATCGGAGAGCGCATACGCTTAGATTTTGAAACTTATTCAACAGGACAGGGCCTAATGAGAGCGCAACCCTCAATTGGCCCGAGTCGGCGGAGAGAACGACAACATTGGGGCCGATTGCCGTGCGGCTGTGGATCGACGATCGCAGTCTGTCTCGCGTTTCCATGCCGTGAACAACGTAAGAGTTGTTCGCGTTTAAAAATAAACTTGGCAAACAGAAAAAAAAACGCAAAAATTATAAAAACGCCCGCGTATAAATAAACTTACTAAATGTACGAAACAGTTCGTTAATTGTGCACAGATTTGGATAAACAAAAACAAAAAAAAAGAGAGACAGAAACCAAATGACGGCAACCGAAGAAGCGCCACCTCCGGCCGTAAACCAAATGGATATGGCCGTAAATGCAAATGCCGCCGATCCGGAGGATATAACACTGGACGCCATACTGAAGCACATTGGACAGTTTGGACGCTTTCAGTTGTTTATATTTTTGCTGATCTGTTTGCCAATGATGTTTCACGCCATGTTCTCCGTAACATACGTTTTCACGGCCGGAACTGTGATGCACAGGTGAACTTTACTTGCAGTTAGTGAGTTAATTCGACATCCAGTCACAAAAGAAACTCTTCAAACCAACAGATGTAACATTACAGAGTGCGATCGACCCGATAGCCAATACGACGAGCCCTGGACCGAGTATAGCATACCAAAGAATGGCAGGGAGCTGGACAAATGCAATCGTTACGATAACTATCAGTTGTCTTCATGGAATCAAAATCAGAGTATCTGTCTCTCCGATAACTACAATAAGGAGAAAATCGAGCGATGTCCCGGCAACGATTTCAAATTCCGCGATCAAGAATTCACCATTTCCAATGACGTGAGTATCAAAGTTCGATTGCGATTAACCACGTAAGCGCGACACAATGATGGGGGCCCCGAGACTTATCAGCCCATAAGCAGACCAGACTCTCGACAGGCATGGACTTTGATAATAAGTCATCCGATTTCTGCATACCCCAACTGGTCCAAGCGCTCTGAGAGGGGCTGGTCCGACTAATTCAGTGTCAGTGTCAAGCAAACTATTAGGCTAATTTCTCTGCTTGAAATCTTATCAAATTTATGAGTTCAATGACTAGGGCAGCCCTAGTTTTGTTTTTTGACTTGTCAACCGTTTACGAACATCGTCGATCAGTTACCCTCGAATGGGGCCTTTAATTTAATGAAAGTCACGATAAGAACGCGACAGACAGCTGCAAACCCTCTAGTGCTCATTAAACACTTGTACAAATTTAATTGACTGCGTCCAAAGGGACGTTGGCTATCAGTATCTATTTTACCCATATTCGAAAATGTCAACTCATGCAATATTGGGGCAAGTGTCTGTAGAACTAAAGCCACGTTGTGTTCATAACAATCTATGCCACAAAAACTCATTTTGTGTATTATGGATAGTATATGTATTCTATTTATCTATTCTGTTTAAATATTCGTGACCAAATCCGACATTTCTACATATAAAGCAAATTTAAAATAGAAATAATTGCTATACTTAAATCCGACATTCGAACAATGAATCGAAAGCTAATTACATTAAACATGGCTATAGTATAAATTAATTAAAAACGTGTTAATTTCAGCATTAACATATTAGCAGAAATTTAATATTCAATATAACTCAATTTTCAACCTCATCGTTTACATACGATGTCAATGGTCCAACATCTCTTGTCCCAGAATCATGTACGTCTTTATTTCTTATTCCGTTTTTTTCTTACATAAAGATAAAAACACAGTTTTATAAATGTAAATTTATCAGATGACCTTAGTACGCAATGCGATCAAAACATCTGAAACAACAAAACCTTTTGGCGTGCATCGAACCTTTTTGCAAGGCAAGCTTTTAGTTTGTCAGCCAAATTGGGGCGCTAAATGGTAACGAAAGAATCTTTTATAAATGTCGGCTTAACGTTCATATAATTGTTTATGGGGCTTACCAGAAATAGCTGCTGCTTAAGTGCGTTTGATAAGCTCGGCATTTGAAATTTTATCACATAACTAATTGGCCTGTGGACGCAAGATAAATGTGTCACAAGTCAAAGTCGGAGACTCGTCTGAACTGGGTCTGGGCGACCCGGAGCTCAGTTTTCAAGGGCACAAGCAATTGCAACATAAGTAAATAACCATTCTAGATTAGATATGCAAGTGACAGTAAATCACATAAAAGCAAACAAGTCAGATAAACTGGCGAGTCAAGTGAATAATGAGCTGCAGAATAAATCTTTTGTTGCGCCAATTTATTGCGGAAACTTTTTCATTATATTTGCATTATTGGAGCGGGACGGTCACATAGGGGGGACACATAACATAGTAAATAAAATTTCTCAACTTAATGGAATCTTTTTACAGTTCGAGATTTTCTGCGACGATGAATGGAAATTATCACTTGTCGGCACCATAAATAATCTGGGACAATTCTTTGGCATTCCGCTCGGAGGTTTTGTTGCTGATCGGTAAACTCGTATTAAAACAATTTTCCTTTACAACACTGTTAATTTTCCGTTGTTTTGCAGTTATGGCCGCAGCTTTTCGATTGCCTTGGGCGGGATTTTGGGCGCCGTGTTGGGCATTGTGCGCTCCTACTCACCCAACTATATTTGTTTCCTTGTTTTTGAGTTTTTGGACAACATGACCAGCAGCACCCTGTACTCAACGTGCTTTGTGATTGGCATCGAGCTGGTCGGCCCGAAGCGTCGTGTGCTCGCCTGCAGTGTCATAACCGTTTTCTATGCCGTGGGCGAAGTGGCCCTGGCCATGTTTGCGAAGGCCTTTCCGCACTGGCGCACTCTGCTGCGCATTGCCTACACGCCTTCGCTGATTCTGTTCGCCTACTTCTGGATCCTGCCCGAGAGCGTGCGCTGGCTGCTAAGTGTCGGCAAGGAGGAGCGTGCCCGGGCCATTCTGCGCCGAGCGGCCAGGGTGAATAAGCGTAAGTTGTCGGAGAGTGCGTTGGACAAATTGGTCATAGCCAATCGGGATAAGCTGCAGCAGTCTGATGAGAGTAAATTTCCAATTCGTGAGGCCTTCAGCAACTTTAAGTGGCGCATTGCCAATTGCTCCCTGTGCTGGATTGTCCATGTGCTGGTCTACTATGGGCTCAGTTTGAACGTGGTGCTTTTGGATGGCAATAAGTACAACAATTTTGCTTTCATTGCACTGGTGGAGATTCCGGGCTTCTTTATGCCACTGCTCATCATGGATCGCTTTGGCAGACGATACTCCCTGTGTGGTCTGATGCTGTTCAGTGCTCTGTGTTGCATAGGCACCATTTTCGCAGGAGGCGATCAACAGGTCCTGCAGCTGGTGCTCTTCCTGGTGGGTAAGCTGACCATCACGGCTAGTTTCCAGGTGCTCTATTTCTTCGCCTCAGAAATCTTTCCCACTAATCTGAGGAACAGCTTGTTGAGCTTTTGCTCCATGATGGGCAGATTTGGTTCCATGTTGGCGCCGCAGACGCCGCTATTGGTAACTTTTATAATTTTCTATTCTATTCATATTCCGATAAACCTATAAACTTCTCGATCAATTTAGGCCAAGTATTACACAAACGCTCCAGCCATTCTCTTTGCTTGCGCTGCCATATTTAGCGGATGTCTAACTCTGTTCTTTCCCGAGACCACAAACCTGGTATTGCCCACAACGGTCAAGGAAGCGGATGCTATTGGTTTCAAGAAGAAACCGCCAAAGGATCAGAATATCAACCTGCCCGCATAATAGAATCAATTAAATCTGCAAACAAATTTAATTTTAAGACAACCACGAGACAGTTCAAAGACACAACTTTGCATTATATATAACTAAATACAGCATATATTTACATATGTGCTGCACATAAACCTTTTTTTTTTTTAAATATATTATTTATTTTTAAGCAACTTTTTTATAGTAATAAATTATAGCATTGGATGCTCCTGTGAGAGCCTAACAGTTCTATGTGCATATAATAATACTTTACCTGACTTCTATATGAATAAGATCAATTTAAGTATGACATAGGTTTTCATTATATTTATTGTACGAGCAACCTAAATCCGTACGGGTCGTTTGACACAGGAGTCGTCACAATGCCAATCCTGCGAGTTCAAAAGGCTGCGTTCGTGCCAGATCCTTAAGGATTTGAATTTGGCCGGATTTCCTATAGATATCGATTTTTTTCTTACCTCTGGAAATGGATAAATAACGTTTATAGAGAGAAGTTTGTTCATGAATTCGTACCCCTTTAAAACTATATTTATCGATAATTTACTAATTTTGAATGTGTTGAATATATTTTCAGTTCAAGCAGATATGTGGATATGAAGAACTTATTCTCTTGTTCTATGACTGGAGAGCAGGAGAGCTGATATCTTTGCCGTAGACTGGAGTATTGATGTGATGGAGCGCTATCCACATCAGGTTGCTTGCTGTGATACAAGGTAAGAACATAAGCTTAAGGTCCTTTTGCTCATTTTACATTATCCAATAATTTCAGGCGATTTTGGGACAGCAGCTTTTGTGCCGGACGTTTCTGACGCAGCATAATCTGCGCGTAATTGTTGCACGTCTTCCAATGATCTTCATGTAAGGAGACTGTTTGATCTTTCTCACCCGCCTGCTATTGCAATGGACTCGATGGTATTGGCAGCTTCCGGCGAGGACGAGGACACGGGGTGCGGACTGTGCTGTCACGCCCTCTGCTGAAATTCACAGCTGGGTATGTCATATCTGAGGATCATTGTTTTGTCAAAGTACGTTATTGTTTAGTCGGTCGCATTCTTCCCAAACTATCCTGTATCAAAAGTCTCGTATTGGATAGCGCTATCAGGCTGACAAAGAACATCTTGAGTATACATAGAAAATTGTTTATAGCTTGGCTGTATTCTTCTGGATTCAGACGAGTCCTGTGTTAAACGACTCGTGTGGACCACGGGTACCAACTGGCCAGAAGGCAACGAAATTGTCTTTGTGATTTAGCCTACTTTTTTCACAAGACCCAAAATCGGCCATAATTTGTCCATTCATTTAGAATAAAAGTCTTATGTCCTTTGGGAAATAGACAGTCCCTATCCCGCCAATTCAAAATTTACAACAAAGAGTATGAAAGTCCATATTGAATCCTGAATCCTGAATCCTGACGAGTCCTGTATTAAAGAATTCGTAAAGACCAGGGGTACCAACTGTGCGAAGGATATCAAAATTGTCCTTGGCTACATATATCAAAAAAGACATTAATAACCACATCGGACATAAATTGGCCATTTCATACACAATCCTGATGTCCTTTGGTCAACATGCAGTCTCTGTCCTTGAATATGTAATGAAAAGGACGAAAGTCCTTAAGGATCTGCGGAAAAGAGATTTTTGTCTGAAAAGAAAGAAGGCTGTAGATAAACCATATCCTCGCGAATCATGATGTCTTTTGACCAACCGATACTCCTTATCCTCCCGATTCAAAATATACACTGAAAAGGACGAAGGTCCTTCAGACAGCCAAGAAATGAGTATAAGTATTTCATAAATTAACAAAGCTATAAATCGACCGTATCCTTGCGGATCCTGACAAGTCCTGTGTCTAACAAATCGTATGAACAAGGACCATAAACTGGCCAAAGAACAACAAAATCGTCCTTGTGGTTTCCGAAATATGGCCAACTTTCTAAAAAGGACTATTTTTAAATGGCCATAGCTCAGCCAAATCCTTAAGGATATCGGAAGGATATGCCTTTTTGAACTCGTGGGGAGCAGGACTATCGATTGGCATTCAAGGATTTCAAGGATTCGACAATAAAATTCACCAAAATTTTTCCTAGGGGTCTGTCACAAAAATGGCCAAAATCGAAAATATCCGGGCTAACTTGGCCATTTGAAGTACTATCGGGATGTCCTTTGGCCAGCAGATAGTCCTCGGCCTCCCATTAAAGAATTTACCACCCAAAGGACGAAAGTCCTTCATACAAAAAAGTGTTAAGGACAATTTTTTAAGCAAAAAATAAGCCATAACTCTGTCGTATCCTTACGTATCCTGGCGAGCCATGTGTCAAAAAAATTGTATTAACTAGGACTACCAGCTGGCTAAATTTCATTAAGATCGTCCTTGTAGTGTGGGAGAAATTAAAGGATATGTGTTTTTAGCCCATTTCCGTGCGCTCCGCGACTGAAATTTTTCAAGTGAAAATACAAGTCATATGATTCTTAGATGAGCCCATTTTTTTTTGATGCAGATCGATGCATTGGGTCTATACGATCCTAACGCACCATGTCCTTTGAAAATCTGCAAGTATATGGCCGAGCTATGTCCTTTTTTCGTTACATAAACTGCTTTTATACATTTTTTGCCTTGTTTAATTTAAATGTGTTTTTATCATTTCAGATTGACAAATTAAGGACCACAATAAATTCCAAGGACCTCCACGAAGGACAAAGCAAATTTTTCAAGGATCGGACTTTAATTAAGCCAGATATTGCTATTTTAAGTACAAATAAGCTAAAATTCTAATTTATGCTCGTTTTGTACACTTTTAAGAGAAATAATTAAGAAAATAAGCATAAAAAACTTTTTTATAAATTTAAACAAAAATAAACGAATTATTAAAAATGAAAATCATGTTTTTATTTATAAATTAAAAAATTAACGGTTTTTAGAAACCCATTGCATACCCGACAGGGGCGTCTGCTGACAACCGCTGGCTGCCGAGATTTTTCTTAAAATCTGCCAAAATACCAGGCGAACAGAAACGCCCAGAAGGTCGACAATTTATATTTTTGCGGCCGAAAAATGACGTAGTAAAAAGGGGCACCCTCTCCGCCGGCCACAAAGTTGCACTAAATTCCACTCAAGTACCAGGCGAACATAAATGCCCAGAAGGTCGACGAGTTCTTAAAATAAAAATTTTCAGAAATGTAACTCAATTAAAATGAGTAGTGTTAAGTAACAGATCATGTAAAATGAGTGCTGTAAGGCGGCCGTTAAGCAACAGCTGGAGCTGCAGCTATTGTAAAAGGGCTCCTGAAAGAAAAAGCATATATATTTTTGGACCATTTCAATGCACATTTTGCAAGGATCTGATCCTTTAGGTTTCCAAGGACTATATCGATGGTACGGTACAACCAAAGATATGCTAGTCAACTAGAAACCATACAGGGAGCGGGGCTGTTGATGGGGGTCCCTGTAAACAGTAGCATACATATTTTTGGACCTAGTTCTTGCGTATTTGCTAGAACTCGGTCCTTTAGGTTCGCTAGGACTATTTACATGGTATGGAATAACCAAGGATATAGAGGTCAACTAGGTACCATGAATAGCGATCATTTGCTGATTATATGTTGTCCATTGGTGTGGCAGATTTGACTGAAAAATATAAAATGAAAAATTGGTTAATTTAAAATATGTCCATTATATTACAACCGATTTCTACTAACGATTGGCGTTCAAGCAAATTAAAAATCAAAGGGTTTTTGGTTATTTGGATGGAACTTAATAGTCAAATTCTACATCCGTTAACACAAGTAAAATATTTCAGTTTAAACTTTATTTATTATACACAAAAAAGTGAATATTTAGATGCGTAGATGTCGATAGGTAGAGAGCTCGAGATAGAAGGAGGTTGTACGTGCTTTTCGTAATATGGTGAAATTCAAAGTTAGTGTAACCAAACTTATCAAAGAGAAAAAACTTAAAATGTATCAGTTCCTGTGCTGCCAGATCGCCACAGTACCCCCTTCTAGACTTCAAGTTGTGAAACGAACGGGGAGTCTAATTGTGCGGCGAGGCCTTGTAGATTGTTGAAGCGGTATAGGTGTGTTGGGAGTATCCTTGGATGCGACTTGTTGTTGATCTAATGGCGATGTTGCTTCTGCGTTGGTTGTCGTTGATTGTTGCTGTGTTTCCATGAAAGCAGGTTTGAGGCGATCAATTGATACTTTGGTATCGTGACCTTTGATAAGTATGTTGAAAAATTTGGTATGTTTTGATTTTACTTCAAATGGTCCGTCGTAGGGCGTCTGAAGCGATCCACGTACCGTGTCGTTACGCAGAAAAACATGAGTTGAATCAGCTAATTGCTTGAAGATGAAAGGCTTTGATGAGTCGTGGTTGGATGTTTGAATTGGTCGGATTTCGCGCATCATCTCTGTTAGATCCTTGGCGAAATCAGTTTGTGGTTGAAATTGACTGGAGTTATTGAAAAATTCTCCAGGAAGACGAAGAGTTGTACCGTAAACAAGCTGTGCTGCTGTTGTTTGGATGTCGGGCTTATATGCTGAGCGTAGGCCGAGGAGAATCATTGGCAGTTTGGATGGCCAGCCGATCCTGTTGTGACACATTATAGCTGCCTTAATCGTGCGGTGCCAACGTTCGATGATTCCGTTTGCCTGTGGATGGTAGGCGGTTGTTCGTAAATGGTCAATGCCGAGGAGGCGCGATAGCTCGTTAAATAACCTGGATTCAAATTGTCTGCCTTGGTCCGTGGTAATGCGTGCTGGAACTCCAAAGCGAGAAATCCATGTATTGATGAGTGCTGCGGCTACTGTTTCAGCTTGGATATCCTCAATGGCGACTGCATCTGGCCATCTGGTATAGCGATCGATAATCGTGAGACAATATCTAAATTGACCAGATTGAGGAAGTGGTCCAATGAGCTCTACATTGATGTGTTCAAATCTGCGTGAAGGCAGAGTGTATTGTTGGAGCGGTGAATGAACGTGGCGTGTGACTTTAGATTTTTGGCAAGGGATGCAGTGTTTGACGAAGTGAGCTATATCTTTATGCATACACGGCCAAACGAAGCGCTGTTTGATTAGTTTAATTGTTGAACCAACTCCTCCATGGGCAATGCCATGTATCTTGCTGATAATATTTTTTCGATGTGT